CGCCCCGGAGGGCGCGGCGCCCTCGCTCCACACAGGCCCGTCCTCCTTGTCCCGCTGCAGGACGTAGCCCTGCTTCGGGGTCAAGGTCGGTGGCACCGATCCGGCCAGGTTCCGATTGATGGCCTCCAGCCTCCTGCTGGCCTGGCTTTCTGCGGTGGAGACACGGGGCCCCTCTTCACCGGCTTCCCAACGGCCACGCACCCCGTGCCCCCGGGCGTCCTGGCCGCACCCTGTCACGAGCGCACCTCCGTCCTCTCCCGGCCCTCCCCCCCCCCACCTTGGTAAGGGCGGGGGCCGGGTGTGTGCAGTAAAGGGGTGCGCTATTGTCACACTTACGACTAGTGAGCCGGACTCTGGCGCTGGAAAAATAGTGTCTCCTAAAGCTCTTGTTTGACGATGAGCAGGAGCCAGTGGCGGCCGGGTCTCCCGTCCAGTTGAAGTTCTTGGGCTTCAGGCGCTGGGTGGTTGCTGCATTCATGCTTGACAGTGGCCCTAAGACCCTGGGGGTCAGTACCTGGGGCTGAAGTGGTTGCCCGACGTGAGGGGGCCCCTGCTCTGACACGGCCCCTCTCAGGAGCACCAACGGCACCAGATTCAGAGGTTGCAGTTCTTGACCGCCCAGCCCGTCCTCGTCATGTCTAGGCTAGAGGAGAAGAGCAGCCCAGTCACACCTGTGCTGAGGTGGGATGGAGTGCTGGAAGAAATACGTAACAAATCCACTCTAGGCCATAGCCACTAATGAACCAGTTTCTCCTTTGGGGTTCAATAACAACAAACACAGAGCACCTAATGGGTTTGCCTGGGGAATAGTGAATGCGACAGCTGTTTTGTTGGCCCAAGATTGTTGACTTACTTATCTCCCCTGTCTATAGGCAGGCCACTAGCTGGGCTGGGGAGATGATTACTCAGAAACTTCGGAGTGGGGGGGTGGCCTTGTTATTTGTCTGTCAGGAGTTTGGGGCGTTCCTGTGAGGAACAGAGAGAGCAAGTCTCTTGGAATTGAGAAAGGTGGGGGCTGCACTTTGCCAGGTGTCAATACCAGAAACAACGGCGTTTGGAAACATGCAAAAGAACCCACCGGCCGGCGCCGGGTGCGCTCCGCTCTGCCAGGCTCGGTGAACTGATGCATCACAGCAACCTCCTCTGGTTTAACCACCACCAGGAGCTGGCATCGCAGCCCTTGTTCCCTTGCTTTGTGGGAGGCTTCATGGGGACCCTCACCCGATACTCAGGAAGATTTTTCTGGCCCCGGTGGTGGTTGGGGTGTAGCATTCGATGAAGCTGCTCTACAATACCCAGGCTTCGGATAAGATTCTCCCTCTGCAGCATGCACTTCATCCGCTCCAGCTCCTCCTCTTCCACAATTTCTTGAGGCTTCATGGTGTCCAGTACTTGTAGCTGCTACAAAGTACACAAGAAATGAATGCAGTTTTTTAAGGCCAAGTCCCCAACCCTTAGCAAGGATGCTACTGGACCCCTGCCCACTCTGTCCTTCCCTTCCCAGGCCCATAGCAAGGCTCCTTTCCTCTAGTCTCTCACTTCCCTTCCAAAAGGTCAGATTCAATCTACTGACCAGGCTCATCTCTCTCAGGCAAGGGGCGGGGGGACAGGCAGCAGGGATTCCCCGTGGAAAGACAAGAGCCACAAAACTCCCGACACCTCTTTTTCCTGGTGCCGGTTCCGGTGAGCCAAGTGAGTGCAGAGGCCCTGCGGCCTTGCCCCGCATCGACTCTTCTCCCCGACGGACTCTCCCAGGTTCTGGTCCTTGTCCTTTCTCTTTCTGGTGCCTGAGTTCTCTTTTTGTTCCTGCTTCTGGCGAATCTCTTCCAGTTGCTGCCTGACCAAGACAGGGCAGTGTCAGACTCTTGCAGACATGGTGTTGGGAGAAGGGGGTAAGCAGTGATCTAGAATTGGAACTGATGGGCAAGGAAAGACAAGGAAGGAGACACACACTGGAGAGGAGAGGGTCATTCGGGATCTGATAGCTCATTCCTACTTTCTCACGTTCTGGGCTTCTTCTGCCCTTGCTGGGGGAGTGGGCAGTCAGCTCCAGGGCGGGCCCAGCACCTGCAACCGTGGGGAAGCAGCAGGGCGAGGTACCTGGCACACTCCTCTCTGGCCTTGGAGGCGGCAGTCTCCTGGAAGAGGGAGCCGTTGTGCTTGAAGAAGGGCTTATACTTCTCTGAGTCCGGCCCTGGATAGATCCTCCGGTACCCGCCCAGGTGGGAGTCCTCATATCTCTCCTGGTCCCGCATGGCTGCCTGGGAGGACTCCCTCTGTTCTTGCCTGTGGAAATCAAGCTCCGGGGAGCAGGAGGGTGGCTGTGAGAATGCGCAGTAGGGAAAGCCGGGTTGGCTGGATGTTCGCAGCCTTCTACTCCTGCTGGGCCTCCAGACCCCCGCCGTGCCTGGCCCAGCCCACCTTGTATAATATCACCATGGACACAGGCTTGGTGTTCAGAAATTGGAGTCCATGGGGCTGGGAAGGTGGCTCAGTGGTAGAGCACTTGCCTTGCATGCTTGAGGCCCTGGGTTCAATTCCTCAGCACCACATAAGCAAAAAGAAAAAAAGCC